TTGATGAGCTGTGTTTAACTAAACCAATTTGTTTTCCCTTACTCGCAAAATTTACCTGTCACTGCATTTGATTCAATTTAACACATCAAATTACAACTTGTGTATAAAACCAAGTTCTATTACAATTAATAGTCATATTTAGGACTTACCCAAGGTCTTCGGTTTTTCCATTGCTACATAAACTACAAAAAGATTCTCCAGAAAGTATTGTCTGTGCTCCACAAAATCTTGTTGGGCATTTTCCATTCTTACCGTTAAGCTCATTTCTAGCAGCATTGGGTCATCAGACATAAAACAGCAACTCTGGAGTGAGAGAAGGGATACGGTGTGTGTGTGTGTGGCAGGGGAGGGAACGGAAAATATGAATTACAGTAAGGTATCTTGAGAAGTTAATCAAAGGTATTATCTAACAGACAAAGTTTCCAGCACCAAAGTGCCGGCAAAACAGGATTAACTAGGACCGCTACTAAAATCTCAGCAGAAACCAAAGACAGTGCACGTACAGATAGCACAGCAAAAACAAAGACAAAGAACAACTAAAAAGGACACTGAACCCTGAAAGAATGCAAATTTATAAACTGTCTTAGTCAGTCTCACCTCAGGGACTGCAAAACAGTTTCCTTTGTTAAATCCTCTGCCTTCAATAAAATGTGCCATAAACAGACTGATGCATGAGTCTTAATGGTAGGAAGACAGTTCATGTTCACTGGTCTGTTTATAGTTAATTTTTCCAAATCCTGTGTTTTTTGTCTCCATTTCTCACTGAAGTAATTTTAAAAAACAAACATACATGTACAATTCTTAATAGAAAACACTGTTGTCTGGCTAGAATACTTCAGATAAATACAAATAGGATCTTATTTCCTTCTCTAAGTAGTGGCTGCTGTTAAGACAGCTGAGTCTTAGCAACTACAAAGACACAGACACCATTTCACAAAAAACTAAAGACAACAAAGCAAAATGAAACTAGACAATTAACAGTAAGTAACATAAACTTATCCTGCTCACACCATGATGGTCACTAAACTAAGGCTCTGATGCCCTAGCAAGAGGACTAATTTGCTCAGGAGGAGGAAGAGGAGAAAACCTCCACCCCTGGCACATGAAGTGCTCTGGTGAAGCAGCAGTAGAATGCCTTGAGCTAATCTGAAGGGCGGCAAAGTGGTACAGCAGAAGCGGGGAAGCATCTCTGGGAATGGGATGCCAGTTCACCACTCACACAGCATTGAAGAAACCCTCAGCACCTGAAATGTCTGCCAGGAGCAGGAGAGGAGGCTGCTGCGGAGACTGGAGCACAAGGATGGTGTGCCCTTGGGAAGCTCACATCAGAGTGGGCAGCTGCACTATGTGCAATTTCAAGTGCTCAGGTGTATCTGAAGCCTAGCCTTATTCACCAACACAACACAAGAATCAAACGTGGAAGTAAAACAGCACAGGATCACTGTCATGTGTAACGTACAGAAAAACAGCTATGGAGTCTGGGCCTCGTCATGCTTGAAGAAAGAAAGGTGCTGCAGACCACAGCGCAGGCCTAGGTATCAGACCCAACAAAACAGCCCCATCGAGTACCACCATCACTGTGAACCGACACCTGTTTACTGTGCAAGGACATTTGAGGAGAGAGGGGATGAGAAGATTCACGTGGCACTGCCCAGGAGGAGGAGACCTACAGTACAGAACACTCAGAGCTTTTTGGATGGGGCTTTTCTGCAAACGAGCTCGCCCCTCCTCAGCTCTGCCCAACACCAAGGCCACCAGCAAAGCCTCCTGAGCACAGAGCCCAGGCAGCCCAGACTTCAGCCTCTCAGCTCATTGAGCTCATAAGCATGAACCAGAAATTTGTGAAACATTTCTGGGCAAAGGAAATTACTAAAATCTAATCACTTTTGTACTCCACGTCAGTAGTACAACATCTACACATTGTAGGAGGAGAGCCTGCCTCACCATGGTCTGCCAGGTTGGTTTTGGTTTTCAGGGGGGAGTTGGGTGTCTTTTTCCATCTCCTCCTCTCCTAAAGGTTACAGTATGATGTGTGTGACGTTTAATTTATACCACGGGGTACAGCTTTATAAAAGCACAGCCAAAAGCAAAATTCCCCTTTAAACTGAGACACTGGAAATTGCATTGTTGCTAAAACTTCCAGAGCTCTGGGAAGTGCCCCCCTTAAACTTTAATTAAAATAAGCAGACTTAAATAGATATAAATTTATAATAAAACATACCTTAACTTGTTGATATGCATCATTAGGTAAACTGCATTCAAGGTGAACACGTAAGAGACTGGCATTCGTAGTTTCTGCCTGTAACAAAGAAAAGCGAAGAAAACATCAAGCACATTGCTTCAAAAGATGTTATCATATAAATCCAATTCACATACTACAATTTATAAAGATAATAATACTGTTTCCATGTATGCATAACACAGCAATGTAAGAAAATGTTTTAAAATAAATACCATTACTCTGTACAGCAGGCCAGCAATCAATCTCCAATTCTCAGGAACTCCATCAATACCTACTTACTTATCAAACTATTATTATACGTGATTATTAAATATTTATAAAGCATCAACACGAGCAACCCTTATAAACTTTCGTATGTCAATAAACTGTATTCAACAGAGCCTTTTTTGATAATATAAAAGCTTCTTCCTTTGTTTCCTGTGTATTTTCTGATTGTTTACTGATACACAGTTGCTAGGTTAAGAACATAATACTTCTTGGACACGGTCTGATACATAGGCTTCACACCAAAACAGACAGAAAATACTGGTTTTGCCTTTTTATTGATTGGAAACAGAAAATGAAAGAGAAGATGATGTCGACTGTGCCAGCTAGTAAAGCACTGATAAATTTACTGGGGTAACTGCACCAACAAAGCCAAGCATAGTTCATGAAAGCTATCTGGAAATCTGGACTGCCAAGTTACTTGCACAAACTCCTCAGCCAGTATATGTTGATTCAAGATTAAAAAAAAAATAATAATCAGAATGATAGACCTGTAACTCTACTAGTGCCTTGATTACAGCAAATTACCTGGTGATTTTGAGGCTGATGTGGAACTCCCCTCAGTTCCTCTTGTGATACTGAACTAAAAATCTAAGTGGTGTACCTGCAGGCTCAAATTTCTGAAGGTGTTGATGCAATTGACTTTAAAGAATGTCAATAATTGGATGCTGAAAAGTAGAACTGTGAAGAAAAGTTTTTAAAGTATCCAACACCCTATTTCCCATTTCCCTGGGACAGGCAGAAAAGGATGGGCAGAGTGCATCCGAGCAGAGAGTAGATTCACCACATGCGTGGCTTTCACGGGGTCCAGTTTTATAAAAGCACAGTCAAAATGAAGCTGATATACATTCCGCATTCCCGATTCAACTGGATTTCATCCCAGAATGACTGGAGCTTCACACAAGAGGGCGATGTAACCTCTGCAAAACTGGTTAGCACCGACCCAAACCCTGTCCCCAGTGCAGCCTTCTGGGGGACAGGAACCCCTGCCACCTCCTTTCTTTTTTACAAACGCTTTTGCCCTCATCAAATTTCAAAAGCAGAAAAAAAAACCTCATTTGATTCCAAAACATGCACCACTTGCTAACCCCTCATGGCTATAACTGCTAGAGGAGTTTTAATGAGGCAGTAAGATTGTATAAGGAACAACTTTGGGGGTCTCTTTTCTGATAAGATAAACGTTGATGCTTAGATTTCCCTTCTCAGTGGTTCTTCAGAGAACACTACTGCTTTTATGATCCTAAATAAGAAGTTGTTAGCCCTTATTCAATGCCCTTGTAGTTTAAAGTAGTTTAAGATAATCAGGCAAACCAGATTTTTCCAACTTTTTTTTTAATCTTCTTGATCCAGCATAGAGCTACATGGGAAACTGCTGTCACCTTAAAATTGAAGCTGTTAATGTAACATGCACAGAGGGAAAAAAATGTTATTGGGGTATATATGATTGTACTGGCTTTGCCTGGGAAGGTTTGGGTAGCAGGGGAGTTACAGGGGTGGCTTCTGTGAGAAGCTGCCAGAAGCTTCCCCCATGTCCAACAGAACCAATGCCAGCCAGCTACAAGGTGGACCTGCTGTTGGCCAAGGATAAGCCCATCAGTGATGGTGGTGGTAGTGCCTCT